AAGTAGGGCCTTGGAAGAGTTTATTACTCACAAGGATGGGAAGAAGGCTTGCAGGGAAGGAAGGACAGAGCATGAACAAAGGCACGTGAGGAGCTGTGCAGAGCGCGTGGGGACATTCGGCAAGCGGTGCTGGACACATAGGGTATGACAAGGTAAGCGGGGCAGGAAACTAAATCAAAAATTTAAAGGGGCCCTAACCGGTTTGGCTCAGTGGATGGAGTGGCAGCCTGCGGACTGAAGGGTCCCGGGTTCGATTCCGGTCAAGGGCATGTACCTTGGTTGCGGGCACATCCCCAGTGGGGGGCGTGCAGGAGGCAGCTGAATCGATGTTTCTCTCTCATCAATGTTTCTAACTATCCCTCTCCCTTCCTCTCTGTAAAAATCAATAAAATATATTTTTTAAAAATTTAAAGGGGTCCCATTCTTGAGAACACTGAACACTATGGTTAAGCATTTGAACTTGGCCTTAAAGAGCCAAAGGTTTATGAGCACAAAAACCAGTGAGGGGGAAAAAAAAACAGTCCAGAAGGTGGGCTGGGCAGAAGAAATCAGAGATGGGCAGGAAACAGGTTAACTCCTTTCAAAGACCAAGTTTAGAGATGCTAGGAGTCTTAAGCCGCACAGTGGAGTGGCAAAGAGACAGATGACTTTGGAGCGCTGCTGACAAGACTTTGATCCTTCGGGATAAGAAACAGAGCAGTCAGAGTCACCTCCCAGCAAACAGTAAGCCTGGCCCACCATGCACAGGGGTCGGTGGGGCAGGCAGAGGACAACCAGGGCGGGAGGGCTGGTCCCCAGCACTAAGAAAACTGATCTACAGGGGCCAGGCGGGTGACGTAAACGAAGGATGCTGGCCACAGGCAGGTTAGATGGGACAGTGAGAACTGGAGCAGGCCATGTGAAACTACTACTCAGTCCAGCTGCTAGTTATCCCTGAGAATCCAAGTCCAGACTGGCTAACCCTGGTGATTTTTTTCAAATGAAGCCAAAAATCAGATCAAGTGAAATCTCCAGTTTTTTTATAGATTGTGTGTAAACAAACAAAACCCTCATCTGTGGGCCAGACCTGGCCCGCAGGCCACACATCTGGGACCTCTGGACAGCCAATGTTGGATGGATTGGTCTTCAGATCAGACTAAAAAGAATGAGGGGGGAAAGGGTCCAAAGAGAAGCATCTAAAGCAAAAATCAAAGCCAGGAACACGCACAGCACAGCATAGCGCAGAGATTTGAGAATGAGGAGCAGACTGGCACTTGGGAGGAAGTGCTTCTGGAGGCCAGAGGCAGCAAGCCAGCCAGCGCGGGAGTGGTCACGTACCTTTAGTGCCAATCCACAGCTGGTCTTGTTCTAGCTTAAAGGTGAGTCTCACTTTTCCTCCGGATTTATTGTACATGCCAGACAAGGGGACTGTGGGCAGGCGCTCCTGTGGTGAGAGGGAGGGACCACAATCAGAGGAGGACAAATACAGGAGAACAGACGGGACGAGACAGCAGCCCCGGCAGCCCAATGGGCCTGGTTTTGAGAGTGCTCACGACGGAGCATGGCTTACCTGGGCCCCCTTCACAGATGGCATCACGTCTTCAGGTTTCCCTTTATCCAACACTTTCCTGTGTTGCTGCAACGCAAGTCAAAAGAGCTCATTAAATGAAAGCAGACTGCATTTCGTTATATTCCCACCTCTGAAAAGCAGGACGAAGAAAGCCTAATATTCTGTTCAAAAGCTTGTACTCCCTACAGACACGGCCTCCGACACGAGAGCAGCCCGGGCAGCAAACACTTGTGGCTGGAAGCGTGGCGACTAAGCGCTCGAAATGGGGCTAGGACTGAGGAAATGCACCCCCAATTTTACTGAATTTTAATCAATCACACCTGGCTGCCACACTAAACATCAAAGCTCCAGAAAGCAGGACCTTACAGACTAGTTCAAAGAAAACCTATTTCCTCCCACAGTCCCCACTGAAAGGATTCAACACCAAGCTGAGAGCCACAAAGGGTGTTGCTCTCCTGACAGGTTCAAATTGGCAGCAATTCTGCCAACTTACAGTCCCAAAGACACCTGGCCCGATGCTGAGGCGCAGCTCAACTGCCTGAAGGGGCATTGCCACCATAAACGGGGACTTGTCTGCTGCAGAAGTCTTCCCGCTGCCCACCCTCAACCCCAGCTAGACACCAAGCCTGAAGAACCGCATTTCCCAAGACGAATGCTGATTACTCAAGAGCCTGACCCTATTAGCAAGTCTCTAACCCAGCCCACCCCAGTTTGAGGCAGATCCTTATGGGCTCTAACAAGGCTCCCCTGAAACAGCTCCTGACTGGCCCACGTGCCTGAACCTGATTTCCGCCCCATTTGTGGCTGCATAGAAACAGACACTGTTTAGCAAAGCTAGAACTACAGGGCAATGAGTGGGCAGAGGGTAAAAAATTAACCTAATTTAAGCACCAGGTGGCCATAAGCCTCACTGGCATGGCAGAAACCCTCCAATGGGAATAGACCCACCACTGCCAGACTGCTAACATCAGTCCCAGATTTCTGAGCCACTGATAAAGTCACAAAGATGGGGTCCTGTCATTAGGCGGTGTTATGCCTCATAACTGGCGTTAAACACTGCAGCATGGATTACAATCTGAATTTGACTCATATCTCACAAGTACCTTTTGAAGAATTTCCCCTGCACTGTGGAACAATTCTAAGCCTGTTAAGCGATCATTTGTAACTCAAAACCTGTATTCAGGAGACATGTATGCTCCCAGGGTGTGGCCAGTGGGAATGCTCTCACATCTGCATTCTCATATCTGACGTCTCACACATGTGGTAGAGCAAGACAGGAATATGGAAATGAACTCAATTGGTTATAAGACATTTTGACCCCACATTTGGGGGTGGAAGTGTCCAAATAAACACCTTTTAGATGGTAACATAGGTTTATAACTAACTCCTTATTTTAAACCCCATAAACAGATGTTTTGAACTTTTATGAAGGCCAAAAGTTTTAGGGTGTTTTTTGTGTGTGTGGTGGTGTTTTTTTTAAGCCTACAGCACCCAGTATTCCCAGGTGGTCTCCCATCCAAGTACTAACCAGGCCTGACCCTGCTTAGCTTCCGAGATCAGACGAGATCTGGCATGTTCAGGGTGGTATGGCCATAGGCTGTAATTTTTTTTTTTTTGTAATATTTTTAAAATACGTTATATATCCTCCACAGGGTTTGGGGCAGCACACTGCCACCAACCACACTAACATTTTTATGATAAAACACGACTATTCACGTTAATCCTGGTCAGGTTTTGCTGCCACATTTACAAAAGCACGTTTTGGGGGTTTGGAAACGCACACACAAGGGAATATGGACGGTGACAGAAAACTGTGTCCTTCCCACTGTTGGTCATGTGCCTTGATGCCTGTTCACTAAAGCCAGTGTTTGCCAGCTGGACGCTCCCCTGGGACACAGGTTAGGATGAGAACACCTATTTTCCCGGAACACTACCGAGAGTGGGCTTGCTGGGTGACAAGATCACAAGTGATGGTTCTTCCACTAGCATCCTTTGACAGTGCAATACACTGACCTCCAAAATGAGCCACAGAAGAGGAAAAACCTGGCCCCTATTTCAGGGACCAGGAGGGGAAATCAGCATAGTTCTCTTCCTAGTGCTTCACTCGGCTTCCCGAGGTGTCAGTTTTAGAGGAACCTCTGAAAGCTATTGATGCTCATGTCTTTCCAGAAATGGGCTTGTTGACTTGTGGGAAGCCACACACCAAAAAGCAAATGTAAGCACTTGCACAGAATGAGGAATCAGTTCTAGCAATGGCACTTTTCTCTGGCACTGAACAGGAGAAACCCAAGCCTGATTTGAAGCCTGCCTTTACAGAGGCCTTATCCTAAAGTAGATAGACTTGAGACACACTGACCCGCCAGATGAGACAAAGTTGCAAATCTCAGGTAGTTGTCACCTCCACTCAACAGCCAGCGGCACCCAACTGCTGCCATAAATTTCCATCATGGGCCCTGTCCAAAAAGGAGCTTATTCTAGGGAGAATATAACCAACCGCGGCTCCAGAAGCCTCACACTTCCCAGAACGAGCAGTCACTCGACGGACTCACTTTCTGCCTGCACAGCGGCTCCTTCTTGTTCTCTTCGGCCTTGGCATCCTGCTGCGCAGAGTCTTTGGGCGTGTTTACTGCTAAAACATCATTTATCGTGGAACCAACCACCATGATCTTGGCTCCGCTGGTCACCTTTATTTCCCTCAATGTCTTATCCTCAGGGACAAGTCCCTTATACATGACTTTCTGCATGGCTGGCGGGAGACCTTGGGAAAAGGAGGCAGACAGTGAAAGGAAAATCAGAAAACTTACTTGGACCAGAGTACTTGACAACAGATCCCAAAGTGAGTGCTGCTCGACCGCCTACTACTTTTGCACACTTGGGCAATTCACCACCTGTCTCAGCCTCAGTTCCCAAAACTTTGTAATAGTGACGACAGTCGTTCCTTCTGTATGGAACTGTCTTAAAGACCACAAGACAGGACAAACAGAATTTAGTGCAGCTCCTGGTAATTCAGTAACCGTTCGATAAAAATTAGCGGCCATTCATTCCAAGTTGTCCCTCAATCTTCCAATCACTCCAATATTAAGTGAGAGTCCACAGGCCTCGGGGATACAAAAACCCATAAGGACCAAGTTCTTGTTTTTACGGAGCCTACAAGCTACACAGAGAAAGCCTAGAGCAGTGGTTCTCAACCTTCCTAATGCCGCGACCCTTTAATACAGTTCCTCATGTTGTGGTGACCCCCAATTTCATTGTTACAAATTGAACATAATTAAAGCATAGTGATGAATCACAAAAACAATATGTAACTATATCTGTGTTTTCCGATGGTCTTAGGCGACCCCTGTGAAAGGGTCGTTCGCCCCCCCCCCCAAAGAGGTCGCGACCCACAGGTTGAGAACCGCTGGCCGAGAGGGAAAAATCATTTCAGGTGGCCAAGCGCTGTCCACGAGATGAAATTAAGTAGCAGGAACACCTGGGAGGGGGCCAGCGGGCCGGTCACCAGCAGCGTTTCCTAGACTTCCCTTATGAGAATCTCCTGATATTTGCGAAAAACAAATCCGAGGCCACATTCCAGCCCCACGGACTCAAAATCTCAGGCGGAGGAGCCTGGAGTCTGTGTGAACCTTGCAAGTGCCTCGGTGGTTTTTATTAGGTGTCCGGGCAGCACTAATTAGAGGCTTGGGCCTGGGACTCCGGCCCGGGCTGCAATCCCAGCTCAGCCGGCCACTTAGTGCTCTGCAATGCCAGGCCTCGTCTTGCCCATCTGGGTAATGGGCATCCTGGAACCCACTCCTAGGGCCGCTGTGAGCACGGCTGCTGGG